GTAAGTTAAACGTTATATTCTTTTGATTCGCCTCAAAACCCAAAGTTAGCTCACATGAGTGTTTGGTGACAGCCAGGTCATTTTATTCCACAGGTTGTGCTCGTGCACCTGTCAGGACTAAAATGCGTGCGCACCTGCGGACTTTAAAACTTACTTCCGTCACGAGCTGCTTGTTTTTCAGCGACTAAAACAGACCGTGTCTTTACAGCAACTGTAATTGACTTAAAGTTATTTTACTCAGACTCCGAACTAATGAATCGGATGACATTTAAATGTTGAGGGAGTTAAAGGTGTCGTTTTAGACATGTCACCTGATCTTTCTGGAAAAACCGGTTGGTTCGTGTTGTGATATTGGTGTGTGTCGTATTTTTGACACGTTGTGAGTTCATTCTAGCCTTTTGTGTCTGGAGAACTCCTGTATGTATGCAGAACCGTGACTTGATCTGGCGGTCAGGTTAACTCCTTTATCAGTTGTTTGAATAGGAGTGTTTGACTGCTGCCGAGCGAGAGGAACTATCTCTCTCTCTCTTCTGTAAACTCAGTTTTCTGGTTAATGTGTGCAAGAATTAGTCAAGACTGCTTTACAAACCAGATACAGTAGTATATTACACATCTGACTATGACATTTGCTATTAATCATGTATACTGTATGTCCTTATGTCTTAAGTAATATTAATAAAAAGTTGACATCATATTAAGTTGAATTCAGAATATTTCTATAGCCCTTTTACAGTGTAGATGCTATTATTATTGTATACTGTATGTCCTTATGTCTTAAGTAATATTAATAAAAAGTTGACATCATATTAAGTTGAATTCAGAATATTTCTATAGCCCTTTTTACAGTGTAGATGTGTCAAAGCAGCTTAACATAGACGAAGAAAAGAGAATAAAAGCCATAACAATATTTCAAAGTTTACGACATTCCAGTTAGTCAGGCAGGCAGGAAATGCAACGATTTGATTATATTGCTACCAAATATTATAAATAACAATATACAATCTTAAAGAATAGGAAACTGTAGCATGAATTAATTATCATAATTAAAATTAATATTTTTTTTCTCTTGCATATAATTTTTATATTAACTAAAATATATTTAAAATATATAGATGCAATTGTGACCTTTTCTGTAGTTATAAAATAGTTTGTTAAAATATATGCATATTAAATTAATTAATGAATGTTAAAAAAGCTAAATTAATTTTGTACCAAAAATGCAATGTAATAAATGTATTCAAAAATGTAAAAATATGACCCAAAAAATAATAAAACTAATATATATATATATATATATATATATACAGGGCTCGAAATTAACTTTTTTACTTGGTAGCACCGGTGCTCCCAACTTCAAATATTTAGGAGCACCAAAATAAATTTAGGAGCACCAGAAAAAATTTAGGAGCACCCACCAAAAATGATTGGGCACCGCTGCAAATTGCTTTTTAAGGGATTTATTGTATTTTAAAACAACATCAATAGTGTTTCGACTGACAAAAACCAGAAACAACTATCTAACTAATGCTGCGAAGACATTGATATTTGTGTGCAATAATTCCAAAATGAATGTCTAATAATTATAGATGTCTAATAATTATAGAATATTAATGATGATGAAAATGACAATAATAGTAAAAATGAATAACATTTCTCATTATGATACTGCCTTGAATGTGCATGAGTGTAGGTTATCTGCTATAAAAAGTCTGTTACTTTATGAAAAATAATTGTATAGTTTGCATCAAACAAAAATGAAGCATTGCAGTAAGAAATATTTATTTTGTACTGTATTTATATGCATGTCACTTTAATAAATAATATTTCTGCTACAAAACAAACAAAAGATTATAATAAATAATTCAATTCAATGATGAAAGCTGCAAAGCAGTCATCAGTAAATAAATAAAATAATAATAATATACACCTCAAAAAAGAATAGACAAAAGAAAGAAAGTAAAGTCTCACTTCTATCACTCTTTAAAAGATTTGGTTTCAGTTTGTGTCAATTTAAAGGTTCAGTCTGAGCTGATCTTCATTTTTCTGTGTTTGTGGAAAAGCTGGCGAGTCAGCCGACCCAATTTATCAGCAGGCAGCGCAAGATTATTGCGATGACCACCGGCGGAATACCGCTGTTTGTTATGAGACGCAGTTTCAGTGTAAACTTAGTAAAGGCGAGCTTCTTTAGCGATGGTATTAGATTTGACTTTTAGCGGACATTTGCGCTGAACACGCAGTGAATGCAACGCATGGAGATTCGGGCGCCTTCTCCATGAAGCGGGTACTCGATTGATCTCAGCTGGTGGATTATTATTCACCACGTGACGTGTCATGATCGCTCTCATCTGCACCTCAATTTTAGGTGGGGTTTGCAAACCTGTGTGCTTTAAGTTTTTACTCTTCTGCCGTTTGCATTTCCCGTGGTCATAAAAGCTCCTTCCCTGTCATCTGACAGCGGAATACCTTGAGTGAGTGACAGCTAATATGAACCAATATTGCGGCAGGGAAGAGCGATTCAGCATGTTTTTACAAAAAAATCAAAACAGGTCGCACTACAACCATTATCTGCAGTCGCACTAATGCGCCCAAATATATTATAAGGTCGCATAGATTAATTTTCGGGCGCATATGCGACCAAAATGGTCGCAATTTCGAGCCCTGATATATATATATATATATATATATAAATATATATATATATATAAATATAAATATATTTATTTTAAAAAAATATGAATTTGAAAGGCCTGTAAAAGCTCTTTCCCATCTTTTAGTTTAGTTTTGTTGAAATTGACCTTGTTTGAAAAATCTCTCTGGAGCAGCAATACAATACAAAACAATACAGTTGCGTCATATGCTATTGTCCGTATGCATCAGAGAAATTACAAGTGATGCAGAAGTGGCTCTTTTAATTTCACAGAGATAACCACAAACTGCAGGATCTCATTTAAACCCCCAGCAGTGAAGTGAGCGAGAGTGTTTGTAAGCACGTTTTCCTGTGTGTTGTATCCTCTTGCAGCTGTGTTGACGCCAACAATAGAAGGAAAATGAGATCAGAGAATCACACAACTAAAAGCAAAGCAGGAACAGGCTCATGAGCTTCGTTTAAACCTTCCCCCATCAAACTTCATGTGTGGGAGAGATAAAATAGACATTTAATTTATCCTTTAAATTAATTTGTCTTATTTACCTTTTTATTCTATTTTAAATATTTCCCAAATTATGTTTAACAGAGCAAGGAAATTTTCACAGCATGTCCGATAATATTTTTTCTTCTGAAGAAAGTAGTTTTATTTCGGCTAGAATAAAAGCAGTTTTTAATTATTTAAAAGCCATTTTAATGTCAATATTATCAGCCCCTTTAAGCAATTTTTTTTCAATAGTCTTCAGAACAAACCATCATTATACAATAACTTGCATAATTACCCTAACCTGCCTTGTTAACCTAATTAACCTAGTTAAGCCTTTAAATGTCACTTTAAACTGAATACTGGTATCTTAAAAAATATCTAGTTAAATGTTATTTACTGTCATCATGGCAAAGATAAAATAAATCAGTTATTAGAAATGAGTTATTAAAACTATTGTGTTTAGAAATGTGTTGAAAATTGTCTCTCCGTTAAACAGAAATTGGGAGAAAAAATAATTCTGTCTTCAACTGTACACAGTTTACAATTGTAGTTTTTAATGTTAATTTTAGAGGTATTGTTGTTTTTTTTCTACCTATTTTCATTTATTCTCCTTTTCTCTGTCATATTTTATTTTTCCATTATTGTATATTTTGTTACTTTAACGATGTAAATGTTTTTATTTTTTCATTCTTAGTCACAGGGAGTCTGCGGGGTCTTAAAATGTCTAAAATTTCAAAAGCAAATTGTAGGCCTTAAAAAGTCAAATTTACTGAAATATTGTGTTGTAGCTAGGGATGCTTTGATCAGGATTTTTGCAGCCGATACTAAGTGCCGATTTCTTGTGATTGTGATCGGCCGATACAGAGTACAGATTATGAAGCTTTATTATGCATAAAACACATTTTCACAAGTATGCTACTTAAAGGGCCATAAAACCCCCCACTTTCGGCTCAGGTCTCCCTTAAGAACTTTTTCAAAAAAAGCGTTATAATAGGTATGGAGCTTTGAGAGCAGAGGCAGGAGTAGGCGTGGCCAATAGAGCAGGGGAGAAGGAGGAGCGAACAACTGTTGTCAGTTAGCTCATAAAATGAGACGCAAACCGTGAGGAGACACACGATTTTATAGTTTACAAAGTTAAAATGCAAAGAAATAAACAGTAATTTAATGCCCTGCTACATTTGTTGTTCGTAATTTCATTATTATTCATTAAAAGCATAACCACAATTTATATCATAATGACAATTGTGTTTATATAAACACTAAATGAGGACTTCTCTCCTCTTCAATCGCCGGGTCTGAACGCAGACTTAATGCAGCAGGTCTCTTGCCCTGCCTATTTCAATTATTAACCCTGTTGGTAATCTGGAGTATTTAGGCAAACACAGCCGCACAGCGATGTGAACGAACTCAACTGATTTACTCTAATTCTTGTACAGCTCTCCTGACAAAAGTGCTTGCTGCACACAAACAGCTTGGCTGTATCGGCCCTGACAGGATCGCGGGGAAAAACGTACAACAAACCCTGTGGATCATGGTAACAAACATGTACGACCCTTCATGTACAGCTAAATACTGTGTGCCGTGTGACCGTGAAAGCGGTCTCACCCAGTCATCAGCATAGTCTCACAGTTTGGCACTGGCAGATCTGTCTTGCCTTCGCAAAGCATAGGCAGTAATAAATAATTAAGAAGCTGGCTCTTCTCATAGGATAAGAAAACTGTTATTAATAATAATAATAATAATGAGAAACCGACGCATCATCACTCCACTTTCAGTTTTGCGCTACGTCACGGATTTTGATCCCGCCCCTAAAATCATTTTAAACCCGCAAGTAGAATTAAGCTGACAAAAGCTCCAAATTATGCAGTT